CATTTCAAGAAGCTCTTACCAGCCATTAACATTCTTATAGATTGTCCTCCATGCTTCCCAGAACCCAAGGACTTGTTTTTTCCAACACCCATTCCATTCTGATTTATCTAACTGGATACTGAGCTCTGCAGGTTTAAAACAAGGTATCCTCTAGAAATCTCAAACAAATCTTCCCTAAGCACAAGATTCACACCCAAGAAACTTTCATTCGAAATCACTTAGACCCCTACGCCAACAGGAATAGGGGTCCATGGTGCTGTTTAATATGTAACGGTTACCTACAAGCCACAGTGCATACTTTATAAAAAGTACCATGACAGACAAGTCTTCTATTACTAATAGTGAGAAAAACCAACACTTCCTGTATCAAAGCTGAAGGGGACGAACATGCAACATCGATTGACATCACATTGTAGGATGGCAACATATTATGCAGCACACAGAGTATTCAAGGTAATGGAGAGATACTTGGACACACATGTGTATTCTTTCACAATCAATGTATTAAAGAGTATTAAACAAAAAAGACATATTGGTGCACAACAGCAATCAACTAAATGATTGTCTTTTTTAAAACACATGATACAACGTAAAATCTTCTTCTCATAGAATTGCTCTTTTAAATAGAAATCTTTCCTAAATTATGTATTTCTATCCCTTGAATTTAACAAGTAGTTTTCTTTTTTTAAAGACTGAGATCTTGGAATATCTAAAAGTTGAAAAAGAATGAGGAAAAAATACTACAGGACAGAAAAACCTCAGTAAAAAAGGGCTAAATTTTGCGGATGTTGAAATACAGATTGTTACATGCAACTGGACGTCTAACAACCAGCAGCCCCCTGCCTGCCTGTCATCCAATTAGAGCCTGAATGCATGCTTGATAAAACCAAGGGTGGTACAAGAATCAAAAGTCAGTTGTGTAAGTGTCAAATAACTAAGCAAAAATAAACAAAATAAGTAATATAATAGGAGAATAGTAACCCCAAGAGTCTCGGCTGACTATATCTGTGATTTTATAAAATGATCACCTGGAAGCATATACTTTTTTGGCTATCGTTATTAAAGGTAGGCATTGTCTAAAACTTGAGGATATCACTCCATCATTCTCATTGCTATAATCGCTAATGCATTAACGAAAGATGGGAGTGCATATTAACTTCCATCTGTCTTCGCCAACCTTCAATTCTATTCAGATTCTATTCAATGTTTTATGTATTTGCTTTAAATGTACATTAATATGATGGAATATTCTGAAATGCGCAGAACTTTACTTTTTAATGTACTTTCATAGCAAAGAAAAGAGCTGCTGTGATCCTCAGTGTGTAATTTGTGCCCTAATTTCAATGCTTTGAGTTAACTACATGCAAGAAAAATGTTGGCCTCTGAAGACAGCCTTAGGCTTAACTCACTGCTAATTAAAATATAATTGGTTAATTCTTCTGCTACTTTTTGAACAAAACCTGCATGGGTTTGGTTGTCTTTCTCAGCATGTCCTTCCCTGCCTATAGAGAACAAGTAGAAAACTTGGCAGTTTGCTTCTTTTCTATCAATCAAGCGGTTTTCTTCAGTTCCATGAAACAACTATTAAATATTAAGCTTTAAAATGTGTGATCTTGGGAAGACATTAAATGACCTTACACATACTGCAGTAGCACGATTTTTATAAGAAAAAAAAACTTCAGAGATCTTTACAGGAAATACACTGATAACTAGAATGACATGAATGTGAGGAGCTGATTATAATTCGCACAAAGGCAGGTAGGGGACACCAAAAAAACGTACAAGAAAGTGCCCTGCTATGATGAGCCTTTTTCTTAATAACAATTTTACACACACATATACAGATGATGATTTAGGTGGAATAATGTGGTTGCATTGTGCAAGCTTGCTTTAGTTGAAAAGGGACAGGGGAGCTAAAAAAGCGAAGTGGATGGTGTGGTAAATGTAAAATAATTTGGAATTCTGGGAGAAATCTTTTTAAAAAAACATTAAACATTGTAATAAATTAGTTTACTGTTTATTTTAGAACTTTTAGTAAAGGCAAGCCTTATAGTTTCTAACCTTTAGCCAAACGATTTGTTGCAGTTTCTCCCATTTATAGAAACACCTTTACATTGTTCACATTCATTTAATGTTTACTGATGCTTTTTCAAACACTAACAAATCTAGACTTAAAAGAGTGTAACTTACTTTTTCTTAATATAACTCTAACTTAATTTGACTTATCCCATTCTCCTATTTACCCAGTGTTTCTTCTTTGTGCTAATTTGCAGAACTGCATATTTACTAGTAGGTCATAGAGTAAGGACACAAGTAGCTAAGAAGCTTTGCTTAAATAAGAAGACATGGTAATGGAAAAACGGATAGGTGTTGTTTTAATATAAATTAAAAAAAAGGAAAAATCTGGTCTGAAAAAAATCAGGAGCTGTAATTTAAATGAGTTGTTTACTGCATCAAACAACTAGCAAGGTTGATAAAGAACAATCTTTGTGACATCCATTTAAGAAACTGAAATAAATTCAAATCAGTAGAACTTCTCAATAAGTTTTTATTAAAAGAAAAACAAATTATGTGATGAAGGACATTCGTTTTAGATCAACCATCTTGAATTAGTTTTTTAACCTTTATTTCTCTTCCTTAGGCTGAAAATATCAGAGGTTGCTATTGCCTTTGCTCACCTCAGTTACTATGGTTGCTTCTCCCTGAAGTTTGCTAATCTAGTCTTTGTTGACTGATGAACAAAGCACTGACACCTGTGTGCCGGCACAGGAGTATTAAAGGATGTATCAGATTTAAAGCAAATGAAACTGCAAGACTGAGCTGGTATTATGTGAACATTCAAACATTCAAAGTAAAACAGACAGATCCTAACTAGTCATTTTGTGAGATTAGAGAATATATATCCTAATATATATATATTTTTTTTTAACTAAAGTTTGAACAATTCTATTTCATTAATCTTGTGGTTAGTCTACATAAAGGCTTGCTGTTTTTTAAATTTGAGGTTAGAATTGGTGTTTTGTCTTTGTATAGATCACACACTGTGTCTTTTAGTAAATGGAAAGCTTCAGATGGCTGGGCACACAGGCTCTGATATTGACATATTTCCCTGCTGAGCCTCCGCATGAAGGAACACAGCATCAGAGAGCAGCACCACACACACTACTCAACAAGGATGTCCGTGAAAACCTCATTTCATATTCATAGTCAAAATTAAAAAGACCGTGACAGCTGATTTTTCTTCTCAAATGATTACACACTCATCCTTAGCAGAATAAAAGAATTGGAAAAAAATGAATGCATGTGATGCATTTTATAAGTCCTGACCAGGCACCCGTTTGAGACAGACTAAAAATACTTATATTTATTGACATTTTTGCATTTTATTTACATGATACGTTACGAATTATGTGAAAGACAGTTGATAAATAGTTTTTAATTGGAAGTAACAATGAAATCTGTTCTTAATGTATATTTTGCCTACTTTAAATTGCCTTATCTAGCTATGTAGAGACCAGCTGTAAGTAATTTAATCTCAGATTTTCTGTGAAGGTTTCAGGTTATTGACAAAAAGCATTATAAAGACCAAGGAACATTAGGAACGGGTCAGAAAAAGTGTAAGATAGAAGCTCTAATCTGGATTAATTATAAATTAATAAATCCAGCTACTTATAGAGCACTACTTTATCCATCATCCAAAGACAGAACAAGAATGGGACAAATACAAAATGGCCAAAATATGGCTTCCATCTAAAAAGATAGCCTCGATAACTAGAGCATTATTCAGATGACCGTCCAAGAGACTCAACGTGACTCAGAGATTCACAGCTCATGGAGAAGAATCAGTTGACTGTTCTGCTCTACTCTAATCTGGCCTTTATAAATGAGTGGCAGGTAAAAGCTGTTGTTGAAAGAATGCTGTATAGGAGACTAAGCCAAACATATGAAAGACGATGCGCAGGTTAGAGAGCGTCTGAACATACCATTCCTTAAGTGAAGCACGGTGGTGGCATTAAATGATTGAGAGGATACTATTCTTGCAGCAGATAAACGCTCAAGGCTGCAAATACATAAGCTAACCAAATCTACAGCCGTTTTTCAATCAACATGATCGCAAGTATGGACTCATGTTCTCACCAAGTATGTTCATGACAAGAACAAAGGAAAGTATGGACTAGTGGAGAACAGAAGCACACAGCATAAATATGTGTTCATTGGAATAAAAATGTACTTTTGACATCACCACATCAAAAACTCGTCAGGAGCTGATTTTCATCTCCTGTTATTAATAGTCGAGGTAATAACAATTTTTGACTTTTTTCATTTAGTGGGGGAATAATGATTAAGACAGTTTGATAAACACACATCAAATGGATATTTTGCCAAATAACACAAAAAAACCCACCATCAGAGCCAGAGCTACTTCTGCATATAGTAACACATATAAGTATATATGACCTTGTGTTCTTGTGAATTGGAGGCTAATGACGTTTCATCGGTACACAAGCACTTAAGAATGCAGGAGAACAAATATTGAGAAACTGCCTACATTGTTTAATTAACTACATATTCAAGGGTTAGAATGACCTTAAAAAGTCCCTAAATGTCTGATGAGAGTTGTTTTAGCTGTGACTACTGTAAAAGATCAACACAAATATAAAACATACTTCTCATTTTTTTCATAACATTAAAAAAACTGGCATCTATTTCCTCCCCTTCACATTTATAAACCAAATTGTGCTGATCTATAAAATCAAATCAAAATAAACACCCTGTTTGTGATGGTAATGCCACAAATTAATAAATAATCAATGTTTGATATGGAAACCTAACTGCTTTATCTTTATCTTATGACCTCTGAACTGAGATGTAGAATGAAGATGAAGCTCTAGAGCAAAAGCGTATTCTCTCATGACAGCTATGAGTAAACCAGACAGATGACAGCTGCTCTCGAGGCAACATCGGGTAAAATGTTTCTTTGAAGTGCAAGCAGCCCTCACCTCAGCCACTGGCACTCCCTCTGGGGGACGGCAGTGCAGAACAATCATGCCGTTCAGAGGCACCTCGATGCCCTGGGGGTCCTGCTCAAAGTTCTTTCTGAGGTCTAGAAAAGACAGTGAAACTCAGCATTAGAGAACAAATGCTAAACTATTAGGAGGAAACTTTAAATGAAACACTTGTGCATTTGTCATGTAAAAAAAACAATGACTAATACTTGTTTGAAAATGATGTCAGACAAGTTTGGTCAGTACAGAGACAAACTGAGTTAACTTTTCTTACAGGCAATCCGGACGCTTGCCTTGCGGCTCTTGGAGGTTCCCAGGTGACTCCAGGCGACACACAAACACCAGTAATCCTCCGGGCCGTGAAAGTCCTCCACCTGCTGACGTGACACGTTGATCATCACTTCGCGGATCTTCAGCCCTGCAGACCAAATGGATGAAGGCTTAGATTAGCTTTCATTACATCTCTGGGTCGATGAGTCAAAGAGACGCAGATTTGCAGAGACAGGATGATGAGTCAATTTTGAATCTGATAAGATTATCAGCAGTAAACAGATCTGCCATTTGTCAGGAGCAAATGGAGGAGAGACTGCTTGTCAAAGCATATAAATTTCACTGAATTTGTTGAGATGACAGTTTAACCTATATTCTCTCATCTGGTGCACATTAATCGAGCAGGATCTTTTTTTTTCTAAAAAAAAAAAAAAAACAAAAGAAAGAGGCAACATAGATTTTTGCTATATAGATTTTACGTTTTTGGGCTTCACATTTTCTTTCACTCCCTCCAAACCATAAGCTATTTATTTTGAAGTGCTGCTAACTAATTTCCGGGGGACGTATTATTGGGAAAAAGGAGCAGATCAGCTTCTTATTGTTGCAAGCAAGAGCACGATCAATCATTTTTATTCTTTGTAAACATCTGAAAAGACCACAATTCAGGATGTGGGAAAGAAAAACAAAACAGCTCGACTAGGAGCTGCTTCTGTACACAAACACTTTCTATAACTGTCAAAACCTTTCAATTTCTGCAGCAGAGCTTCGACTTCATGTCATCCAGGTCATCTGCTAATATCCACATATTGTCTGTGATGCAGCCCATAATGAGTTAGGCATGAGAGGGACATTTTCTGAGAGAATTAAAAGGAATTTAAAAAGCCTGAGATTTCAATTATGCCTGCCTATGTACAAAACATGACAGGCTTGGGCCATTAATGTTTGTATAATAGGGGTTGTTTCACTGGTATCCAGGAAAATTGCAGGCTTTAACAAATGCCTCTGATTCTCTGACTAACCCTGCAGAAAACCTGCATTTCAGTCAGCCAACTTGAACAGATTTTTAATATGGTTCTATGGAGTTATGAATAGCTAATGTTTAGTGTCTGGTGTCCAAGCTCATCACTCCCTGCTGAATGCAATTAAGGCTGCACGCTGGGGGGAATGAGTGGAGAAAACAAGAAATACCAACCCCAACGAACAAAAGAACAGCTTTCTGCAGAGCAGGTGGTGTGTCTGGAGTGCTAGCATTGAAAAACAAGTCTAAAGCAAAGAGGAAAAAACAACCCCCAACAGCTATGACAGGTCAAGTCTTACTTTTGCATCTGCCTTTCACTGTGCTTCATTGAAACTGCAATTTAAGTGTCTTTTCCATGTAGAAAACCTAAAAGTGTAAAGTAAGGCAATTCCATTTACTCTTTCCTCTACTTAGTTACCCCTAAATAAAATAAAGAGCAACCAATATTCTTTATATCTCCTTATTTCTGGATGCATGTGTAATTTAATGTCAGTATCAATATTGCTAATGACCGAAAGAACAAGATCACGAATAAAAGCGGCCGAAATGAGTTTCCTTCACCGGGTGGCTGGGTGCACCATTCGAGATCGGGTGAGGAACTCAGTAGAGGAGCAAGCTGAGGGGGCTCGGGCATCTGTTGGATGCCTCCTCGTCGCCTCCTTCAGGAGGTGTTCCAAGCATGTCCTATTGGGAGAAGCCCTCGTGGAAGGCCCAGGACACTTTGGAGGGACTAAGCCTCTGTGCTGGACTGGTGTCGCCGCAGAGCAGCTGGAGGAAGTGTGTGTGGATCGGGAAGTGTGGGTATCTTTGCTTAGACTGCTGCCTCCAAGACCCACCCCGGATAAGCGGAAGAAAATGGATGGATGGATCAATACAGCTGCTCTTGGACTGACATTGAGACAAAGTAACACATTGAAACACTATTCCAAACTGTGGAAATTCCAGAAAGTAATGTTCATGTTTGATGAAATGAGTATGGTGTAAAATGGCCTTCCCCCCAACCCTGAAAGACCAGCTCAGGTTGGTGAGTGTCACTGCAGAACAACTTTAGTCCTTCCAGTCCTATAGATAAAACAGCTAAGATGTGGAAGATGTTGATCTAGTCTGATAAGACTAAAAGCAGAGCTTATGGCAAACATGCACGTTGCTATTTGTATACAATCCCATGGTTAAATATTTTGAGGGCAGCATTATGCTGTAGGGATGCTTCTCTTCTGCAGTGACTTCAAGATATGTACAAAGAAATCTTAGGAGAAGAACAGCTTATGCCGGGGGTGGAAGTTCACCTTCTAGAAGGACAAAGAAACCAAACACAAAGGCAGAGCTGTGAAAGTGATATAGATCAGAGCTCGGTTCAGAATCTTGAGGTTTATAAATGCTCTCCATCTGATCTGACAGAGTCAGAGCCATTTTGCAAAAAAGGAAGGGGAGAAATGTCCTTCCCTGATGTGCCAGAAAACTAATAGCGTCACAAGGTGTTTCTGCAAAGGAGCAGGGAGTAAAAAAACATGCATATTTCCCATTTTATTCAATAAATATTTCAGAAATATATCCTACTTTTTTGTGGTTTATCTTATAAAATCCAGATGAATTACATATATACTTCATAGTTGTAATGTAATAAAAAAAAAAAAAAAAGCTTAAATCCAAATTAGTGTACAATGCACTTGTGTTGTTTGTATCTTTGGTCTATAAATAAACTGAGTTAAATTGATTTGACAGCACCCTGAAGCATTTCTTTGTTTTAAACATGGAACAGCTTTTTTCTTTTTAAGTCGAGACAAATTCTGTCTGACAGGATCTGGTCTTTCTCCTGATCTACAAAATAGATTTGCAATACAACAAATAAATTGTGATTTAATAAGAATTTCCTGTTCTCATCCTGTTATATTATTATTTTTTATCTCCCTGACAAATAAAAGACTGCATTCTCATCTTTTTTCAGAATACTGAAGGTTTAATGCTCAAACATTTTAGGTTTAAACTTATTGAACTCAAAATTGGAATTTTTTAGGGGTTTTGCTTCAAGGTTTAAACTAAGTACTCTTCTTCAGGTACATTTTTTTTTATTTCTTACTCTAGGCAGCTGCTTCTGTAGCATCAAGGTTTTAATTATTAATTTAACTTTAAAGAAACTTTGTGATTTTTTTTATTCTCAAAGCATTAAATCATCACAAATACCATACTTTTATCTTAATACCACATAAAAAGCCTTTGAAAATATGCCACAGGAGCAATGAATGTATGTTAACATGACTACTGGCTGTTTCTTTTTTACGTTATCACATTGACATATATCTCAATATAATTATGAGGCAGGGGCGCAAACAGTTCTTTTCAGTCTCTTAAAGCTGGTAGTTAAGTAGGTATTTAAAATACAGAATAGTTAATTATTTTGTCATAAAATAACCTGTTTTTTCCAAAATTGACCTGCACCCGTTTGGGCAAGAGTTAATTTGATTAAGTTTAAGAGCAGATATCTACCCGATAAACCCTTATTGTACTGTATGAACAATTACATGTAAAAATTTATATCATTGGAGAATATATAATAAACAGAGAGATTCTTTAAACAACTAATGATTGCTCTTTCAGCTAGATTAAGCATCAGTGCACATTAGAGATGCATCAAAAACTGACCCAAAAATTTATTTTCAGCCGAAAGACATTTAACACTGAGACAGCATGGCTAAAACTTGTGATGACGAGGCGAACATCACAACCAGCATGCAGAAATGGGATGAGAGTCAGCATGTCTGCAGTGTGGACATACTGTTTTTCACCATCTCTGAGAAAGACCCACCGATGACGATTTGCAGAAAATACCATGCTGAGATTTAAAGGGGGGGATTCATCTGCAAAGAGTCTCTCCACATCCATTTATCACCTGAAATCCAAACATCTCCATCACCATTCTAAATATGTGAAGAACACGACACCTAAAAGGAAACTGACACCAAACACATACATGCCCACTCCTTCTGTGGCGGACTCATTTGAAAAGGCAGGAATGTTTCCAGTTATTTCTGCCATAGTAAAGGGCATACCATAAAAATATCCATCCATGCATGCATTTTTCCCACTAAGTCTATGTCAGGGATGCGGTGAGACCAGTGCCTATCTCTGGCATGGGCGAGAGGCTGGGTACACCCTGGACAGATCGCCAGTCTGTTGCAGGGCAACACAGAGACAAACAACCATTTACGCACACACACAGAGGGTGAATTTACAGAAGCCAATTAGCCTATTTACCTAAACCTGAAATTCCTGTTTTTGGACAGTGGCAGGAAGCCAGTAGCCTCGTGAGACCGTCCTGATCTCACGAGCTTTCAAGATTTCACTCGCTAATCAGTCTGGAGACTCTCCGTTGAAGAAAATTTGGAGCCGTTCACCAAACGAACGTCCAATCAGCGTTGGCTTTGAGGCGGGTTGAGGTGTGACGCAACGAGAAGCGCGACAGTTCAGTCTAAAGAACATGGCGGCTTCAGCCGATGAAACTAGCGTTAGCGTGGCTATCGAGCAAGCTTTATTGGAATTACAGAGTATTTCTTCACTGAAATAAGAGCAAAACACTGCTCTGGAGGCTTTTCTCAGAGGAAAAGATGTTTTTGCTCTTCTCCTGACTGGTTTCGGCAAGAGTAGCCTGGCTGTGAATACGTCATATGCTTCATTGATCTGATTGGTTTATTTGGCCCGTCTATCACCAACATAGGCCAATCAGCTAACCAGTATTTTCGCCCCTTCCCAAAATTACTTCAACCGAAGGTTTCCAGATGGATATGCGGAGCAAATCCATCTGGCGGAGTCAGGTTAGGAAGCCAGAGTACCTGAAGAGAATCCTAGCAGGCTCAGGGAGATCATGCAAACATGCAGAAAGACCCCGGGCTGGGAATCGAATCCAGAACCTTCTCACTGCATGGCAACACTGCCACCCATGCAGCTCCACAAAAATATCGTTGGTAAATAAATATCTTGACACTTTTGTAACAGATTTATTGCAATGCCTTTATTTTAGTAAGGTTAATACACAAAAATGCTATAATAATAATAATAATAATAATAATAATAATAATAATAATAATAATAATGTTTTTCCTTTTTTCGGTTTTCCTCCTTAGTTTTCTGTTTTC